TATATTTAAGTTTAAATTACAATTGAAAAATTCTTAAATACTAATGGAAATTTTTGAAAATACAACCAGGAAATTCTGAAATACAATACGTTTTAGGGTTATCATTAAAATTACTCACTTTTTTACCGCAAATCATGCACTTTTCTGACAATTTTTTGTCCGGTTTCTTAGATTTTTTATTTGAAATTGTTGATTTCGCATCATCCTCATCATCACCACCATTATCATCTTCAGCCTCTTCGTCGTCACTGTCATCCTCGAGTACAATTTTATTTTCCAATTTACCCATGCAAACAACATCATCTTCTGAGTTATTGTTCTTTTTTGAAGATTTAGTTTTAGTTGTATTCTTTACAACCTCTTCTGACTTTGTCTTTTTTTCTTTCTGTGCTGATGGCGGTTTAGTTGGTGGTGGTGGTGGTGGCGGTGCTACAGGTTCATCTTCATCCGAAGATGAGGACGATGATGATGACGATGAGGAAGACGATGAAGATTGTGGTGGTGGTGCTGTTTTTACAGTATTGGCTTTCGGTTTTAGTTTAATATTAAGTGGTGAAGAAGGTGGTTTTGGGGTTGAAGTTGTTACCTCTGGCTTAGCAATTGCAGCTGGTTTTTTAGCAGGCTCTGGTTCTTCTTCACTTGAAGAAGATTCACTAGATGATGACGATGAAGAACTTGATGATTTTCTTTCCTGTTTTAGTTGTATTCCCAATCCCCCTTTCTCCTGCTTAATTTTGACAGTAAAATTATTGTCAACAGTTGCACTAGAGGAGGCATTTGTTGTGGTGGAAATAGAGTTATTTTTACTTCTCGGAGCTGAGTTCTCTTCATTGGATTTTTGACTTAAAGTCGAATTCTCCTCTGGCTGCTGTGTTTCTGCGTTCCTTTGTTCACTACTCTCAGGTAATTTGGAATTTTCTACTGGTTCTTCGAAAATCAGTTTATTATTGTTATTATTAGGAAATTGCTCAGGAAATGGTTCATTCTGTAATTGATTTTGCGGTGGTATTATTAAAGGATTTAAAGGTTTATTTCTAATCCAGGGAAATATGCCAGCACCTGCTGCATTTCCGCCAACTTGATAGCAATTATTTATATTATTATCATGGTTCCTATCGTGTTGCGGCCAATAGTCTTGTTGTTCATTAGTAGGATAATCAGTGTCCACAAATTTTTGGAAACCTCTGCCTTCTTGACCATTATTTCTGGGTCCTCTGTTTCTTTTACCTCCACCGTGGCCACCGTAAGATCTACCACCGCCACCACCTCGATTTCTTTTACTCCATTTATTATTATTATTCATTTCGAGATGCTACGACCAATATAATAAATTTATATATTTTTTTGTAAATAAAGCACTTGCTTGCACGTGTTGTTTTTTATGCTAAGGAAGTGTTCGGAAAAAATGAGTTAATACATCTCTAATTAGAGATGAGAAAATAAAATGTAAACATAAGTAGTGCCAAGTTGAATTTTAGGAATCAAACATGATATCGCTTATGTACTCAATTCTGAAGTGCTAAAGGTCTTTGAAACGAGTCGAACACCATAATATTGAATCCAACCAATTGGTTATACAGACAAAATTCTGATCCGATTTTGATAAAATCTGTCAATTGATAACTGTAGTTCCCTAAAGGAACTTATCAAGCGTTCTAATCCAGCTGTTTTTTTCTTTTGAATACAAAAATATTTATCTACTCAATTCATGTCGGGGAGTTATATGCCTCTAAAGTTTTGATATATAATATTGTTGATATGGTTACCAATGGAATGGTCTCCAAAATACCTCTCTATCGTTATATTTCAAAAATATATCGAAAGGACACAACATTTTGGACTTATTATATATGTATGTTTGAGTGCCCTATATCATGAAATACTGGCGCTATGCAAGTTGAAACACTTTTCAAAAATATTGATTTTTTTAAAAGCAATTATATCTACAGCTCGATTACTCATTATCTTACATGGACATCAATGGAAAAGTCTCTCTAATATCATTCGAGTGAATACAATAAATTATAAATTCATATCATTAACACATTAAGAGTGCCGGGCCACTTTATGTTTTCTAATATAGAATTTCGCCAACCTAAATATAATTCAAAAATATTGATAAAAATATTGAATTTAAATTAAAAAAAAAGTTCTTGTGCATTTTTTAGCTTTTATTTTGGTTTTTCTTTTTCATTTTCTTCTGTTTCATATCTTTGACAGTACGTTCAAGTGTATTACCAAAGGATAACATCGTAGTTTTCGTTATATTACGTCGCAATGTATCATTTTGCTTAAAGCTTAACTTTTTACTATCGAAGTTGTCTAAAAGTTCCTTTGATATGAATTCTTTAACGTCTGCTTTAAGTTCCGAGTTTGAAACATTTTTCTTGAACTTGGTTTTAGATTCAGAATTTAATTTATTTTCTGCTTTCTTTTGTTTCTTATTAAAATTTTTCCTTCCTTTCTCTTCCTTAATTTCGTTAAGCGCGACATCTGGGGAAGTTTCTACAATATTTTTATGTTTTTTCTGTTTCGTTTTGCGGTTATCCTCATCTTCTTCTCCGAAATCTTCCCATACAGTGGATTCCTGTTTCTTTTGTTCGATTAGTAACTTTCTATAGTTCATTTCACGTTGCTTCAGAGCAGTTTTAGCATCTTTGGTGTCCATGTTGGCCTGCAAAGCTGCTTGCTCCTCTTCACGTTGCTTGTAGACAATTTCATCCTTGTACTTATTCCATGGTGTAGCATTTTCTGGCTTAGCATCGCGTGCTACTTGATTAAATTTATAGTTGTCCTTGTTTTTATGATTATTTCCTTTACGATTGTCGAATTTTCCACCACGGAATGGCTTGTTATTGCCGAATCTGCCACCTTGAGATTTGTTAAAAGGTTTTTTACCGCCACGGCCGCCACCGCCTCCGAATTTATTTGGTTTAAATTTAGTTTTACCCCAATCATCAACATTTTGTTGAACATTTGTGGAAGGTTTGCTACGAAATGGATTATTTACCATTTTTATTTTTTTTTTCTTTTATTCAGTTAAACAACGTGCAATTACAAAATGTAAACATACAATTTGACAGATAAATTATATGATACTTTAGTGGTGGTAAAATTTCGATTTTGTTATGTAAAGATGACAACCAAAGAAAAATATGACAACATTATATCAGGGAGAAATATTGCTGCCTTTTTAATTGAAATTATGAATTATAAAAAATTTTTGAATTTTTAATAAATAGAAACTGCTTTCACTATTTATATAAAAAATAAAGATTTTTGAGGAATATTAGGAGGTTTCAAAATATGTAAAATATTATTAGACCTTTTCCCTACTGATCTCTTTGTAGAGATCAAAAAGTGAGCGTACTGGTTTCCGCTATCTATTCCACTCCTTGTATCTTGACCACAAATCAAATCATTCTTGGATACAAATCAAATTATGGTTATCAATTGCAATCACCATGATGAATTATTGATGTCTAGAAAAATAGTTACTAGGTGCCAACATGTGACTAACGATATTATAATAATTTGTGCCGGTTTATATATTTTGCTAATTGCAATGCATTCATTCGTATATACATAAGTAATTGCGTGTCTATAGAGTCATATATATTAGGGTGGCCCCGTTTGTATGGAGAAAAAAATGGTACCAATATTAACACCGAAATTGAAACTTTAGTTTATTCTAAGATACCATTTCTCAAAATTTTAAGAGTATCAAGAAATTTAATGTTAGTTCAAAAAATTAAAACTTTTACAATTTTTCGGAAAATTTTGGAGGTTATTTTGTAAATCCCTTCACCTCACTTCACTTCATTTTTCATATAAATTGTTTTTGTATTTTCAAAAATTTGTATGAAAATATTTTCAACGCAAGGTGAAGTGTTTTACAAAATAAGGGGGCATAGAAAAGGTATACATAGAACTGAAACTGAGTATGACAAAACCTAAGTCTGCTGTCAAAAACCTAAGTCGTGAGAATGTATTAGTTGAAAAATATGTAACCCAACAAACACAAACTCTTTCGTTTAAAAAGTTTTTATATTTTTGTTTGATATTATATTTCGATATTTTATGAAATAATGGTTTGAATTAGCCATTTTTATTCAATATCAGTTGACCAATGTAAGAAAGATCTTCATTAAAAATTATTTTTAATTTTAAATAAACTCTTTGTGGTTGCTGGGTTGAGTCAATATTGACACTTGAAAATAATATTAAAAAATAAAAACGATTGAAAAATTTGCTTTTTTTTTCTGAAAATGTTTTCAATAATTTTATGGGAAAACATAACTTTTAGCAGTGTTTATTGCAGCAGCAGGGGCTATTTTGTTAAAGGAATTGTGCTAATGCTAAAATTAACGCTTGATATGAACGATTATTGTTAATTTCAAAGCAGCCCAAATGCAGTCAAAATACACCCTACACCACACTAATGGGAACGGTATTTTGTTTACGTCTTAAAGTTTGTAACACCTGCGTCGATGTAATGATGTAATCCGCCCATAAATTAGCCTATTGAACTTTTTTGTAAGCGGTACATGCTATACAAGAATAGGGTATTTATAAAATTCGACTCAACAAATTTTATATATACGAAATTTTGACTATATATTGTTATAATGAGTAGTACATTCATTAATTAAGCAAACATCAATCTCTTGAATATAACTTCTACATTAAAAAATACTAAATAACTTATTGCTACTTACTCGCAATGTGGTAGGGTATGATGTATTCGGATACATTTTGTACTTTCATATTTTTGTTATTTTATGTAAACAAAAATAAAAATACTCATACAATTATATTAAATTCACACAGAACCTGTACATGTGAGAGAGTAATATTTCTTATTCTCAGTTTCAGTTCTATTTATTTTTCTATGTAAGGGGGTTTATTTTTTTTTTTATTATTACATATATACACATTTTTATTTATCAGTTTTGTATTAAATTTTAATTTTCGGCGGGAACATCAACAACTTAAATTTTGTAACCACTCTAATATAAACACATATATGTATGATGTATGTATGTATTTGCAACAAATGCAACACGTTGTTTACGAACCAAATGCAAATGTTGTCACAGACAAATAGATGTAAACAAATGCATCAAATATTATTTAAATATCTGGTAATTGGATTAGCATTAGGAATCATAGAATGGTTTTTATGTCAAGTGCCTAAAGCAATGGAAAAAGAAAGAAACCAGAAATACAATTGAGACATTAACATAGATTCAGTTAACATTTGAACATTGGCCGAAATACAACACAAATTTATAACGTTAACATTCATTAAATTAAAAAAAAAACAAAAAAACAAAACGGTTATATAAATAGAACATTTAAAAAAATTACTCTTAATTATGAGTTGTAGTTATTTGTATGAAATAGTACGTAGAAAGTCGGAAGAATTCGAACAGCATTTGGAACAAGATAAACGGGAAAATTCAAATCTTTCGGATTATTCTAGAGATGATGAAATTTGGGAAGTACCAGAAGAAAGTTTTGAAAATGTCTATCAGCAGATGGAGGCAAATGAGGAATTGCAACAAGATAATGAGCAGAAAGATGAATACAATACAATAACTGAGGAAGTATTGAATTTAAAACAATTTGAAAGTACTAAAACTTTTCATATTAGTTTAAGTACGGAAAAAATTGCTTTAAAATCGCAAACAAAGCAACCATGTGAAAATTCATCAAAATCAATCAATAAATCAATTAAAACGGAAACGGATGTAATAAAGTCACTGACCAGCAATACTAACACTATAAATACCGGTGGCAATAAAGTGCAATGGAAAAATTGTACTTTGTCTAACAACAACAAACATTCCTCCTCTACTACATCTTTACTTAATTTCACAATTGTGCCCATAAATGTGTCCACAAAAGGGCAAAATCAAAAAACTACTGATAAGCCTGAAAGTGGTACTATTCAAAAATTACCAGAAATAAAATTGTCGTCTTTTTCAACCAGAAAAACATCTTTGAAATCTAATACACCTACTGTAAAACCCAATAGTGGATTTTATGTGCATACAACGTTTAATGATTTGAAATCTACTTCAAATTTACCACGACGCAAATCATCCTCCGGTTCTGAAATTAATAAACACATAACCGAAACTTCCACCTCTCCAGAATCTTTATTGGATAATATTTTAAGTGGGGCTTCTTCAATATCAGTTCAGAGTAGCAGTATCAGTAGTAATGGCTTAAACGGTGATTTGGATGCACATAAACAGAAACAGGATAGCACTAAAATTAGGGATAATGTGGTACCTTCTTTAGTTTTATCACCAAAACATTTTTGTCGTAACAATTCGGGCATTTTAAAGACCCAAATACCAGAATTGAAAATTATCACAGCACCCAATTCACCCACAAATCAAGCCGAAACATTAAACGTTGGAACACACGCCTCGCCTTCTTTGTTGACTATAAGCAATTTATCGCACTCGGATTCATTTGAAACGGCTTCGAATCGCACTAGGTAGTATATTCTTTTCCGCTCTAGGGTAATATTTATATTTATTTTATTTAGAAGTCCTTCGGCCTCACCTCTACGCAGTTTATCGCCAAGGGTTCCCACTGAAGCTAGCCTGTATCCGGACGATTTGCGCTGTAAAATTTGCAATGAACTTTTCAAGGACCCCCGAAGTTTAAATTGTTTGCATTCATTCTGTTTTCAATGTATTGTTAATGAAAATTTTAAACAAGATGCTAGCATACCATTTTGGTCACAGCCTCAATCCCTTCCAGGACCTCAAGTTTCCTCGCCGCAAAACAAATGTGATGATTTGGATTTCAAAGGTGAGTATTGAATTGAAATATTTGGTATATCGGGGAAAAAAGTATACACGTTGGGTTTTGAACTTTTGAAAAAGATTGTTAGGGATCACTTCTGTGTAAACACAATGTTGGTTTAAAGATTGATTTACGGTGAAATGAATATTACGTGATAAGTTCGGAGCTGTTGCCGTTGTCTGCTTGTTAGCCCAGATGTTGAGAATGTGATGATATTACAGGCATGGGACACCCATGTAGATGGGTTTCATGTTTTTCTTATAAATACAAATGTCGGATAAAGAGTCGTGTGAGAAGTTAAATGGTAATGGATGTGTTCCATTCTTTGTCAAGGTTATGTTTCTCGGTTTAATCTATTCATATCAGACCTACTGTGTATAGTGTAAGAAGCGAAGTTTTGGCATATTGAAGGAGATCGTACCTAGGTTGAATGTTTTCTCTATGTTTGTGCCGGATGAAAGTATTACAAGTAGTGGCATGGATTATATGATGATGTACTATGTCCTATACCTGTATCATGAATCAAATTTCCATCTTTGTCAAGTTATGTTTTACGGTTTACCATGTGTGTAAGAAACGATATCTTGGCTTATCGATAGAGATTGTACTTAAGTCTATCAAACACGGTTTCTAGATGCTTCAGATATGTTCTGAAGATTTTCGGACATTGAGTAAAGTTCTTATACATGGAACTTCATTGGCAGAAATACTTTCGAAGGATTAAGTTGTGCTAATTCCGAATCTCAACTCATAATTTATCCGTTACCTTAGGTTTTCGAGATATAGTGCCATAAACTAAAAAAAAGTGTTTGGCCCTATTTGAGGAAAACCCAACTTGTCAACTTTAAATTACATCTTCTGTTATACATATCTTCCTACTTCTTCGAGATATCTTAACTTAAACTAACACTATAAAATTTCAAAATAGACATATAATCTTTTAAACTTCCTCGGCCGATATCTCAGCAAATACAAAAGCTTTTTAAACAATTCAAAAAGTATTTCTATTAAGAAATTTAGTATTCAAATTTATTGATGTATAGAGTTAAAGTATAATAGATATTATATTACTGCAATGATGTTTTCTATATTTTCGAATTAGTTACAATTAGACATTATTTTATAGTTATGTAAATTTTGAAAGAATTTTATTTTAATCAGTCATTAGAAACGCTATATATGTAGTAATGTATATAAATAGTTAAAGCTATAATTTAAATACTAAAAAAGATTCGTTTAAAGAAGATTTTTATATACTTTATATATTGGTTTTCTTTTAAATTTGAGTAAATTAACAAGTGACTATATTTTTAATAATAATGTAAACTTTAAATCTGATTAACGATTGTACCGATTGTGTTAATTTAAATCTACAAAAAATTTAAAGAGTTATATATAAAGGTTTTCTTTTAAGATAAAATTAAAAAACTTTTATAGTTAGTATATTATTAGTTATATAGTTTTTTTCCACAATAAATATGTATGGTGTTTGGCAAATGTTTAAATTTTTACTAGACTATCTAAATATTATATAGGCATATTTAAAAAAATAAAACAAATACATAGTTCAAATAACAATTTATACTTTTTTGTTTCAGTATGAAAGTAATTGTTTTTTTTTTCTACTAATTTGTAAAGTAATTTAAATTTGGCCTGTATTGAGTTTGATTTTTAAAATCACTATTGCTGAGACCGATCGACCTTCTTAACAAATTGTATTATTTAAATATTCATAACAACTTAAGTGGCCACTGCCACTTTGGAGTGTAGCTGCTGCAGCTTCATTGCGTGTTTTTATAAAATTACCTACCCAGTGTGTGGTAAGATCCAAATATTTGGTTTTAGCTCCAGGATTATAATCGAGAAATCCAGCTTTTGGTATTACCTCTTCGATTTGACTGCCATCAGGCCAGTTGTTGTAACTGGCGATATTGATGAAGCCAACATGATTTAGTATAGCGGTTCGCCATGCTACTCCATAATACTTTTGGTTGCAAATAAAGAAAATGTTTCTTTGATTACTTATTAAATGAGAGCGTTTGTTGTATTTGACTGTGCCGAATCTTATATAACCACCATCAAAACACCGCTATTAAAATGGGCATTAGGGTTATTTTTGGAATAGTCTAGTCTATAGTCTTGTCTATAGTCTATAGTCTAGTCTATAGTCTAGTCTATAGTCTAGTCTATAGTCTAGTCTATAGTCTAGTCTATAGTCTAGTCTATAGTCTAGTCTATAGTCTAGTCTATAGTCTAGTCTATAGTCTAGTCTATAGTCTAGTCTATAGTCTAGTCTATAGTCTAGTCTATAGTCTAGTCTATAGTCTAGTCTATAGTCTAGTCTATAGTCTAGTCTATAGTCTAGTCTATAGTCTAGTCTATAGTCTAGTCTATAGTCTAGTCTATAGTCTAGTCTATAGTCTAGTCTATAGTCTTGTATATAGTCTAGTCTATAGTCTAGTCTAGTCTAGTCTAGTCTAGTCTAGTCTAGTCTAGTCTAGTCTAGTGTCTAGTCTATAGTCTAGTCTAGTCTATAGTCTAGTCTATAGTCTAGTCTAGTCTATAGTCTAGTCTAGTCTATAGTCTAGTCTAGTCTATAGTCTAGTCTAGTCTATAGTCTAGTCTATAGTCTAGTCTATAGTCTAGTCTATAGTCTAGTCTATAGTCTAGTCTATAGTCTAGTCTATAGTCTAGTCTATAGTCTAGTCTATAGTCTAGTCTATAGTCTAGTCTATAGTCTAGTCTATAGTCTAGTCTATAGTCTAGTCTATAGTCTAGTCTATAGTCTAGTCTATAGTCTAGTCTATAGTCTAGTCTATAGTCTAGTCTATAGTCTAGTCTATAGTCTAGTCTATAGTCTAGTCTATAGTCTAGTCTATAGTCTAGTCTATAGTCTAGTCTATAGTCTAGTCTATAGTCTAGTCTATAGTCTAGTCTATAGTCTAGTCTATAGTCTAGTCTATAGTCTAGTCTATAGTCTAGTCTATAGTCTAGTCTATAGTCTAGTCTATAGTCTAGTCTATAGTCTAGTCTATAGTCTAGTCTATAGTCTAGTCTATAGTCTAGTCTATAGTCTAGTCTATAGTCTAGTCTATAGTCTAGTCTATAGTCTAGTCTATAGTCTAGTCTATAGTCTAGTCTATAGTCTAGTCTATAGTCTAGTCTATAGTCTAGTCTATAGTCTAGTCTATAGTCTAGTCTATAGTCTAGTCTATAGTCTAGTCTATAGTCTAGTCTATAGTCTAGTCTATAGTCTAGTCTATAGTCTAGTCTATAGTCTAGTCTATAGTCTAGTCTATAGTCTAGTCTATAGTCTAGTCTATAGTCTATTCTATTGTCTAGTCTATAGTCTATTCTATTGTCTAGTCTATAGTCTAGTCTATAGTCTATTCTATTGTCTAGTCTATAGTCTAGTCTATAGTCTAGTCTATAGTCTAGTGTATAGTCTAGTCTATGGTCTAGTCTATAGTCTAGTCTATAGTCTAGTTTGATGATGGTTATACAAATTAAAATTTTCAAAAATGCAAGACTACAAAACTTACTCTTCCATTGCTACGATGTCTTTGTATATCACCATGACGCGGAAATTTATTTCGTTCGGCAAAACCAGGGCCCACTGTGGGTACAAACAACATTTTATAGGTTAAGGCAAATGATTTCAAATATGACCAATTTTTCCAAGTACTGGCGAATGTGGCTCCATTACTAGGCAATTTACTATAGAAACCATCTAAACACAGACGTCTTATGTAATCGGCATGATTCTTTAATCTAAAAAGAAACAAAAATTTTAATAAATCCTTATCGAGGAGAACGATCTATTGCAACTAACCTTATATGACCAATAAAGAAGGCATCGAGTATGAATCTTATGGACGTAGAAGATTTACAAAATGCTTGGGACGCCAGAGAATCGATTAGTTTATAGGCATTACTTATATAAATAACAGGCGTTAGTGCTTTACGACTTTGTGAAAACACTTTAAAAAATACCGGCGAATGATAGAATTTGCGTATATCTTTAAGATGTTGTTGTAGAAAAGATAATGACTGATTGCCAGCTACACTAATTTCGAAGGTAATCGATAAATTAAATTTTGGTGCCACCTGAAATATGGTCTTGTAAACCTCTAATTCTGTAGGTTTTCCCGTATAGCTTAAAATTAACACACCAACACCACAATTGCGTATATTTTGAAAGTGTCTTTCGAAAAGTTCACAAGTTGGCTTGTATAGACCCAGTGACGGATAGAAAGCACTATTTAATATTTTGGCTGCTGGTTTTTGTGTAACATTCTCGGTTGTATTGAAATCAGTGAGAATTTCTTTGGGAACCGTGGGTTTACGGGTCTTATACCATTGGACCGGAGCTGTGTAAAAGATATGTATGGCTGTGCTAACACTCTCCATTACGGTATGTTCCTCTTCGGGATCCTGTACTAGTTGTTTGGTTTGTTCTTTTAAATTGTGAATTTTCTCTTCGATTAAACGCGATTTTAGTTTATGTTCATCATATTTTTCCGGTTGTATAACGCCATTTTCTCGAGGAGATTTTAAAATAACCAAACCATTATCTTCAAGTTGCTGCGGTTTTAGTTGTGGTGGCCCCGCATAGGCTTGTGCCACAAACCGTTCATCGATTAATCTTTCAGAGTTGACATGTTGCAGTCCATTGTTGAGTATTAGCAATGTTATAACTATGAGTGTAACAATCATCAAAAGTAAAATGATACGAAATTTACGTGGATTTTTACAATATTTAGTTATAATCATTTTTAATTGATTTGTGGTTTTGAACTTCACGACATTTTTTCATTTCACTATTAAACTCAATCACCTATTATCTTGTTTGTCATATTCTTCAGCAAATTTGTCTTTTAGGTTTTTGTTTTCTAGTCCGGATACTTTTTTTTTGCTTGTACCACTTTTTTCTATGTTAAAAAATAAAATACTTTCATCCACCCTCATTCCGTGGACATCCGTTTGTGTGTATGTATTTTTATTTGCTTGTATGCGTTTTGACCATGTGTTTCCTGTTTTCTGTTTTGGTATGTACTGTTATTTTCTATTATTTTGTTTTCATCTAAACAAACATTGCAAATATTTAGCTACCGGGAATTGTTGTTGCTGCAATGCGCATGTACTAAAAATTTCTAATTATGTTTATCTTCTCTTAAGAGAAAAGAGTAATAGGGAACATTGACACACAGCACAGTAGGACGGAATCGAATTTAAACGCATTAAAGTTTGACATTGGCGTAGTGAAGGAGTATTCGAATTTAAGTTTAAAAAATGGACCTCATAACTGCTCCATGTGCAGCTCTATGGAGACTCATAATGGAGCACCTTCGACATATATGTATTTAAACTCATGACAATCTTTTATTTTCCATCCGTTTTTATTTATCATATTTTCTATTATACGTAATTTCCGAGTTAGTATATGCATTTGAAAATTTGATCCGATTTTAATATTTATATGATCCGACATTTAATTATTCATGAATTAATAATAATATCGGGATAAAAATATTAAAAGCATTCTCTACAACACTTTATTCGGATCGGCCTATTATTAGCTTAATAAGTTTTCAAAATTTAAAAAATAACTAACACGTGTTTAAGTTATTTAAGATTTGACATACAATTTTCATTTATTTTCAGTTTTGAACTCT